AGTAGTATAAAAGAGCAATAGCCAATAAGACCGACCGACCGACCTATAACGACATCCGAAAATGGTAATAACATATTTCTTTTATTTTAATAAGTAAAAGGAGTGATGATTAGGAAGTTGGTCCATGCTAATAATAACTCATTGCCCCACAAGTTTACTTGTAATTCAAACAACTTTATTCAATTTGTTGCGTTAGAAACCGACGTTTGTTGCCTGGGGAAAAGGCAAATCAAAAGTGCAGAATTAGAAGAAAAACGACGTATGGGCGGTAGCGGCTGGACTTTTCTTTTAATAAAAAAAAAATCTTATGAGTTGATTTATTCCTTAGGCGGTGCAATATATGACCACGAAGTGATGCAATTTTCAAATTGAATACTTATTCATTCAATTTTTATAATATTATTTGTGTTGACATAAATTATAATTATAGTTTGGAACTTATATTTTTTGTATTTGTTATTAATTTTTTATATGATATATGTAATTAATTATGTAATAAAGTGTTTTTAGCATTAAATCAAATATTTAATTGCCCTTAATTTTTTTTTTGGTACAATGAACGGCCCAAGCTTACTAGATCAAGTCACACACGTTTCGCGAATAGGAAACGCCAATAATATCGTGATGAAGCCACGGTCGAACCCCCTCGAGTGGAATAGTAAGAAAATGGTACCCCAACACTCCGTCCGCAGCGAAGGAAGCCAAATGGTCGGCTGCAAAATTCGCTTCCCGGTAGACATGTTTCACCTGAATAATCCAAGGTCGACCCAAGAGTTCCTTAATTCCCAATACCAGGCTCGCGTGCACGCCCGGGACATCATCCAAAGTCTCAGAAAAGCACACAACGCTCGCATTATCAACTTCGGCCTCTACTTTTCGGTATCCTAAATCCCACGCCATATTAAGACCTCTAAAGAGCCCCCATAGCTCCGCAGCCATAATCGAACACAAACCTATTTTCATCGTGAAACCGCCTAACCAACGCCCTTGATCATCCCGGACAAGACCTCCCGCACAACCCATGCCCGACACGCCATTAAAGGATCCATCGGAGTTTACCTTAACCCACCCCGGCAATGGCCACTCCCAACGTATCCATCTAGGAACTCGTAGGCATCCAGTCCCTCCAAGCTTTCCGGCACTGTCGTTGAAATTCTTGATCCCGTCGACATAGCTGGAGACCTCTCGCAAACACGTCGTCACATCCCGAACGCGCCCCTGAAAAATCCTTTCATTCCTCCACGTCCAAAGTTTCCACACAACGACCCCAAACGTGCAATCCCATCCGACTACCTCTGCGTTGGGCCGATATACCAGATTCTTACAAATCCACGGTTGTAGCGGTAAGGTGAAAAAATCAGCATGGTGTGTGTTAGGAAGCAGCCGGCGCCAGACTGCCGCTGCTAACGGACAATCACGGACGACATGCAACGCCGTTTCCTCGATATGGCCACACTTCTCGCATGTGGCGGATCCCGTCAGATGCCGTCGGGCTCTCTCCGCGTTAGTGAGAAGTCGGCTTTTAGTGAGAAGCCAAAGAAAAGTTCGGACACGTTGAGGACCGGGCCATCTCCAAATTGTACGCCATAAATTGCCCGAGCCTGAAGGAGAGCCATCATCTACCAGCATATCGTAGGCGGACTTGGTGGAGAACTTACCCGTAGAAGAGTATCCCTAGAATAAACGGTCTCGGCCCAATTCCGCTCGTGGCGACGAGATGGCTGCGATTTGTAGCAGTACGGACGCCGGTAGCAGATAAGAGAACAGGTTCCATTGCCATTCACCTCCCGCCGACACGAAGAAGGCAACGGTCTGCACCGCGAACTCGCTGGGAACCGTAGCCGTAGCGACAGAAATCAAACGGACACCTGACGGAAGCCATCTATCCGTCCAAAATTTCACCGTACGGCCATCGCAAACGTCCCATCGTGCCCCGGCCATAACATGAGGCCATATCTTTCTCACCGACTTCAATACCGCCGAGCCTCGGTTAGTCGTAGAGTTCACAAAGGGGTTTCTCCGTATTTAGCTTTCCAGACCCGGACCCAAAGCGTGTCGTGGTTAGTGAGGAACTTCCAACCGAGCTTCATAAGCAAAGCATCATTCATGGCCCATTGCCGTTTTAGTCCCAAACCCCCAGTGTCTCGTGACTTGCAGACATCCTCCCATTTGACTAGGCTAATTTTCCGGTTGTCACTCGAGCCACCCCAAATAAACCGCCGACATCGTTTCTCTAGTTCCTCACAAGTTGAGTTAGGTAATCTAACTGACTGCATGGTATAATAGGGTAGTGCACTTACTACAGCTTGCATCAGGACAACCCTTCCGGCCAGTGATAGCCCTTAACTTTGTTTATTGTTTTAGACAACTTGAAAATTACTTGAAGAAAGAAAGGAAAGTATCAACTGATTGGTTTTATTCATACCATTCTTGAACTGATTGATTTTTCTATTTTCGAAGAAAGCAAAATCGAAGAAATATACCATAACTGGAGTTGAGAAAAATCAACAAGGATTGGAGAAAATACGTGTTGATTGAGTAATGGTAGTGCAAACGACCTCGATCTGGTTGAACGACCTTGGATTCGTCCTCGATAAAATGACCTGCAAAACAGTGCTAAGGTTGTCCTGGCGTAGAAGCTCTGATGCTTGAGTCAGTAAATATTGATTGAGAAGACGATGAACAATATGAACTTTGTATAACTGTATGTATATAAGAGTTGTAGAGTGTTAATGATCATACATTACCCCTTTATATAGAGGTGTTACTTTGTTATCCAATTACTGCCCGACTGGCTGCTCGAGTGCCCGAGCTACTCGTTCGTACTGTCCGAGTGCCCAAACTACCCAGTTATGTTAGTCCACGTGGCCTTTTCACGTGTCCTTCTTATCTTAATTATATTATCTCTTATTTATTATGTTGTGCGTTCACATTAGTCTATCTCATTAGATGGCCTAATTGTGCTATCAGCTCGGTTTCTCTTGAACTTGCTAAAACCGTGAGGGTAATGTCAAAGGACTTAAAATCTCTAGATCAGAACCTCAAATATCTCACCTTCTGTTTGTTGATGATCCAATAGTGTTCGGTGTGGCTGATTATCGCCATGCTAATTTGATTCTGACTTTACTGTCCAAATATAAAAGGTTCACTGGCCAAAAGTGAATCTGGCCAAATTCTCAATATTTTTAGTAAAAATATCCTAAGGAGTAGGCACCAAAACATTTGTTTAGTTTTGCAAGGGATTCAGGTTCATAATTCAATTAGATACCTAAAACTTCTCCTTGGTATTGAAAGATTTAAGAATGAAGCTTTTGAAAGATGTTGTGAGACAAAAACTAATTAATTAGAAGAATAGATTCCTCTTAAGTGCTGGGAAGGAAGTGTTGACAAAGGTTGTCATTGATGTTATGTCTGCCTTCTGTATGTCATGTTTCTGTTTACCTAATTGAGTTTTGCAGAGAAATAGCAAGACTGAGTGCATGATTTTGGTGGAGTAAAAGGGAAGAGGTTACGCCAGGTATGCACTGGAAGGCATGGAACCTTATCACCCTGCCAAAGGAAATAGGAGGACTGGGCTTCAAGGACATCAAACTGTTTAATGAAGCACTCATATTGAAGTGAACTTGGAAAATCCTGTCTAAGCCGAATCTAATCGTGAGAAGAGTTCTTAAGGGCATGTATTTTCTTAATTGTTCTATCTTGGAATGTCAGAGAACTTCTAGTGCTTCTTGGCTTTGGTTTAAGTGGCTGCATATAAGGGATAAATTAAAAGTTTTAAACTTGAGGTAAGAGATGGTAAGTCTGCTAGAATTTGGGTTGACCCTTGGATACCGAATGTGGATAAGGGCAAACACTTCAATTCTTTGGGTAAAAGAGTTGTTAGAGACAGGAGGTAGGAGGTATGAGGAGTCTGGTTTGGTATAACATCTATTTGGAGAAGCTGATAAGGAGGTCATACTCAAAATCAAAATTCTTGATCTTGGACTTAAAGACAGATATGGGTTTGGTCTATAGATTCTAAAGTGCTGTTCAGAATAGTAGGAACTTACTCTTCACTCGTCAAAGCAAGAATCAAGAAATTGGATCTGACTGAAGGTAGTACAAGTGCTGAGAGGGAAAGCAACAAGGTTAGAAAAAGAAGCTGGGGACTGAAGGTTAAGGGCAAGCTGAAGCATTTCATCTCGAAATGCTACAATAATGTAATGCCAACTAGCCAGAACTTAAAATCAGAGGGATGGAAGTAGAACCTGTCTGCTGTAGCTTTGGGGAGGATTTTGAAACTGCATAGCATATATTTTTCCATTGTTGCAGGAACAAACAATCTGAAAACTGGCACCAATATTCTGGGATGGTTTAGGGGCCGATTCATGCAAATTCAAATAATGATGGTGGAGTGTCTACTCTTTAGATAGAAAAGTCATATCTGAAGAGAGGGAAGTCAGTTCAAGATGCATTTCAAAAAATTGAGGTGGAATTTTACATGAATCATTTGAATATTTTTTGTTCGAACATGTTTACATGGATCTTGAGTAATTATGCAGGTGCTTTGTTAGTTTTCAATAAAATGTTGAAATATGACACAAATATTTATTGATCAAAATTTTATGAAGTTTTTACCATTGGCAACAATATACCATAAAATATGCAACTCTCCTTCCACTCGTATTAAAATAAACCTGCGGAGTAAAAAGAAGTTATATTGTCGGCATCATTTTGAGGTACCAAGCATTTAAAACAAGTTGACATTAGCTCGAGCTTCCAAAACCCCCTAATACATCAACCTCGAGTATTTTATCTCCAAACACAAGCTCTTCAATTCATATAGGCAAAGCTACTATGATAAATACATTTTGCCTTGGACAGATTTTTTCTTCGTTTTTTTTTTCCATGTAGATTATTTCTGTACGAATGACATGAAACTCTAAGATTGCCATCCCGATGAAAAGAATTTGAAAACCAAGAATTCCAAATCTTCGTAATAAAATGGATTTGAAATTCTCAAGTCCAATTTCGAGCTATATTTTTACCGTAATTGACGAAGACAAATGTCATCATCATTTGAAAATCATTTCCAAAGGAACCCTCCTTTTGAGGCTACAAATTCTTCCATCCGAATGCGACTTAGAAGCTTCACATAATGGTGCAGCTGCCATTGTTATCCCTGTATCAGTAGATAGCCATTGATCATCATATCAACACACTTGTGTGAAACATGAAGCTTATAAATTAATATAAAGGATAAAAAAACATGATGATACTAACCTTCTTGTTCCTTGGTATCGGCTCAATGCTTCTTCAAACTTAATCCACAAAGGACTCGCTTCTTGAAGGTTCACATTCTGTGGACCCGAGAGATAGGCCTGAACAACAAATTGGAGATCTCTTTCCCTACCAAAAGATTCAAAAAACCCATTCTAAGAAGGTAACAACAAATCTAGATACACTATTACCAAGAAAAGAAGTGATAATCATAAGTGAAAAACTACCTTAATGTGAGATGCAATTAAAAAAGAATACAAAACAGATTGAAAATTTAATGGGAAAAAAAAAAATTGAGGCTTAGATCCCCTCCTCCTTCAGTCGATCGGTCCTAGTTATTGGTAAATGGGTTTGGCTAATAATAATGGGATTATCTATCTAGAACAAAGGATTTTGAGAACAAACAAGACTCCAAATCAAATACATTGCATCAAATTCATAATCTGAGAATAAAAATTTCTAGCAACAGTTTTGTTACAAGAATTTTTGAACAACCGAGAAAACAAGATTCATAGAAATGAAGTTCTGTTTTTCATTCTCAACCAATCACAATATCAAAAAGTTTTTTTGGGTAAACAATAAAATGTATCATTGCTTATTGGCACAAAAAATCTAATGTTTTTTTTCCACAAAAAGTCTAATGTTAAATTAGGTGCACTTAGTAATTGAGGCATATTTTTAGTCATGCCCTTGATGTAAAATCTCAGTGACAGAAAAAAATAAATAAATTTCAAAGGCCCCCTTAATTTATTGAAATATACAGCTTTTTCCTCTTCAAGCTGAGACGTAGAGTCATAGACTTAAGAAGCTTTTTTGCAACTTCAATGTTCTCAGAGTTACTTTTGTGAGTACGTACTCCAAGTCTTGGGGGTAGATTTTGCAACTATCCCTAGACGATATGAAATAACTTCATATTCTTTAGTATCATACTATTATATGAACAGACCTTCCTTCATATTCTGATAACCAGTTCATATAGGCTGCACCAAAGTACATAGAGACGAATGGCTTGGTAAGATCTTCTGTTGACTCAACCTTATAAGCTTTGTAGCATCCATGCCTAGACATCAAAAGCATCAAATTCCAAAAATCATAGTATAGGACTGTCTAAAACACCATTTGTGGAGACATGAAACTTATAAAGGTGGAATTTTGGTTTAGCAGATTGTCATGAACTAGCACAAAGGCATTATGATTTACATGTTAACTTGCACATATGAAACATGAGGTTACAACTTTATTGAGCTCTGGTTGCTTTCAAGTTTTAACTAGTTGATATTATTAATTCACCATCTAAACGAAAATAATGAAAAGACAAAATTTAGCTTCTTTATTTTTCTTCTTTTCTTGTTTCTTTCCCTTTTTTTCTGTTTAATATGCGTTAGCAAAATTTGAGGACACGTACTTGTAGAGCCAATGTGCTGTGGGATAGTCGATTCCCATAAGTCCTGTACGTTGTCCAACTCCATTCACGAACCGCATGCTAACCATCTCAGAGAGAGCACATAAAACAGACTGTCCAATAGGAAA